TTATGGACCTATATCCTTTAACATGGACTTTTTTTTTTGTCTTATTAATTAATTAATTTTTTGTTATTATGTTCTTGATAGCTTAGACCACAAACGCATTTTAAACTAAAAACAATTTCAATTATTATATCAAAAGCATACTTTATTTTCATAATCATCCATATATATTTACTTTCCGAACATAATCACTTTTGGTAGCTAAAACAATGATTTCACAGAAATGACCAGTTGAGAAGAAATACACATACAAAATTTCCCTAATTAATTATAAAGAAGGCAATTAGTGGCAGTCATCAACCTATTTTCTGATATTTCAAAACTCAAATACAATTAAAAAAAAAAAAGTAGTTTGAGAGGCAAAAATCCAGAGAATTTATCAATGTATTTAAGTTGGTTCATAGCAGAATACATGGTAATATGACGACCAATAATCATGCGAAGAGAGAAAGACGGTTGAGATCATTTTCAGTTTGAGGCTACACCAGATCCAACGGTGGAGGTTCTGTGTTCTTGTTTTTCTGCTGATCAGACGGCAGTTGACGCCTAGACGTTTTCTTTCCTCTGAAGAAGGCTACGATCAGTTCTTTTAACGTTGGATCTCCATCTGGGTTTTTGATTACCATAACAATAACTTGCCATATGAAGAAAGCCCAGAGACCCACAAACACTAACGCCAAAATTAACTGCAAAGCTTGTTCAAAATCAGATGCCATAGTTGCCCTGTATAAATTACCAGAAAAATATATTAAAAAAATTATATATATATATATATATATTGCTTTATTTTCTTAATTGATATGAAGAAAGATAGAAGTCTTACTTGATAATTGTGAGTGGTGAAGAAGCTGTCTTAATGGGCGATGAAGAGTGATGTGGTCAGGAGGGAAGGTTTAAGAAAAGTCAACAAGTCATTGGCGTATAAGACGCTGCTTTTGACTTGTAGAAGTCTCAAATGGTGTTGTTGGGTTGTATTCGAATTTAATAATTTATTATCATTTTTTTATTAATAAATGTTGTGGAATTTATTATTAGAGACTTGATTCTTTTTATTTTTTTCCCCCTCAAAAAAGAAAAAGTTTCGTTTTGCTGAGCCGATTTGGTTCATGGATTACAACCATGTGATTAGAATTATTTTCGATTTAGAGAAAATATTGTAGCGAACCGCGAATCATGATTCGAATCAAGGAACGAATCCCTTAACCAAACGAACTCTAGTTGCTAAAGTCTCCGGCATTACTCGATCTCTGTACACGAAAGTTCAAAATAGAGACTTTACTTTACACTCTTGTTTGATAAGATAGAAAGAAAATAGAAGGTAAATAAAAATTATAATGCATAAAAAATTAGAAGGAGAGAAAAGATTTTAATTTTTTCTTAACTTATTTGGTATGATAGAGAAGAAAGAAAATGAATCTACATTTCCTTGTTCAGTATTGGAAGTGAAATTAAAGAGACGAAAAAATTATTATTAGTGTAATTACTTTTTTGTCCAAATATTTTTTATTAATATTCTTTTCTAATAAAAGTATAAATAATACAGTATTCAATATCAAATTAACTCAAAAAATTCATGTAAATTAAACATATATTTCATCTATATTATGTATATACACACATACATATATAAAGGTACAAAAATATAGTTTAACTTATATTATGTATATACACACACACGTGCGTATATATGGAAGGAAGTTTTTTCCGTGTGAAAGGTGTGCTGAGTAGAGAGAGAACGCACCATTTATCTCTTCTTTCTGGCAAAAAAAAAAAGCGCCAACTTTTGGAGCCAATTTTATATGAAAAATAAGGACAATTCAGGTTTTGTTCACTTTGCGGATTCGAGTTTTCAATTCAAGTTGAAATGTGACATTTTCTGAGAGCTTTTTACTGTAGCAGAAAATTTTAATGTGACATTTTCTGAGAGCTTTTTATTGTAAAAACCTAAAACTGAAAACTCGAATCGGTGAAATGAACGAGTCCTCAATAATTTGATTTTATTTAGATAGTTATTCACATTTTTCTTTCTAAAATCCTCACTTTTAGAGATATTAAATATGGTGAGACCCACCAATCACAATTTTCATTTAATTTAATTTTCTTTCTCAATTTCATTTATACCAAACAAGCTAACTTATTAATTTCCATCTCAAAATCCCTCTGACATTTTCCTTCCTTCCACTTTTCATTCATATCAAGCACACTATTAGTGTTGTTGGGTGTTTGCGTGCTTTAACACAATTTATTTTAGTCATTCGATTTAATTTTAATGGTTTGATTTACGAATGAGAATACTTTAATATCATATAGTAAATTGTGTTTAACATGGACATCTATTGATCAAACCGTTAAATTTAATCAAACAAATAATATTACTTGCTATTTTGGTAGGACAAAGTAATGTACCATGCTGTAATTTTTCTTTTCTTTACAGGAAGAGTTATTTTCAATTTTTGCTCCCAAACTTTACATCCATTTCCATTTGTTCCTGACTAAACAAAAAAAAAAAGCCCACTTGACAGCTCTAAACCATTAATTAGGTCTCATTTATTTTATCGATTTAAGTTTAGAATTTGAGTTTTGTTACAGTAAAAAACTTTCAGAAACAGTCACATCTAACATTTTTACTATAATAAAAAGTTCTCACATAAAGTCACATATCAACTCGAATTAAAAATTCGAATAATGATCTAAACGAGCCTTTAGTCTCACTTGACTCTCTCTATTAAAATTACCCTTAAGAAAAACAATAACAAACGGTATGAATAGAATTTCAATGAGACATTTTAAAATTTCACTCATTAAAATAGAAGAATTTCAACAACCATGAAACATGGCCCAAAAGCAACGCCAACCTATATCACGAATTCCTTTTTTTTTTTTTTTTTTAATTCGAGTTTCGTCTTTGTGAAGTGATAAGTAATGATTGTTTATGATGAGTTTTGTTAAATCTATGTTCAGGTTCTTTGTTAGGGTATATTCTCCTTGTTTGAATAGTAAAGTCTAACAAATAGGATTTAGGTGATACTACTTTAAAGTTAGATGTCGCTATAGTAAAAAAAACGACATATAACTGGTGCTTAAAAGTCTGTCCTTGTTTTTGTAGAACAGACTTACGGATTTACCTGTTGTCGTTCCCTAAAAAAAATGACTTGTCGTTTGAGTAAGAAATCGTTAGTCGTTTTTTCTGGTGATAGTCTTCAAGACAATAGACGCCATGTCGTTTCAACTTTCTACATTATTTTGTCTTCGATCCTTTCTAGTAAGACCCATTCACACTGAAAAGTAGAGGTAAAAGGCGGCGGTGCAACATTTATAAATTACGTTGATTTGAGTTAAGATGTGATTTTATGTGAAAGTTTTTTACTGTAATAAAAAAATTAAATATGACTGTTTCTAAGAGTTTTTTACTTTAACAAAACTCAAATTTTAAACTTGAATCGGTGAAATAAACGAGGCATATATATAAAGTATTGTAGTTCGAGCAACTCTAACCATACTTGTCTATTTCATAATTTTAGTTAAAATGATTAATAATTTAACTTTTTTTTTTAACTTTTCTCTACTCTAGTCATCAGTTAAATGGTTAGTTATTTTTAAAAATGTCGTTCACACTAACTAAATATAGCTGATATAAAGAGAGTATCATTTAAATTTTTGTATTATTTTATTAGTTAATGTAAAAAGTTTTTTTTTTTTTTACTTTAATAAAGTTATTTATATTTTAAATTTAATAAATATTAAAATAATCTATAATTAACTAAAATAATGAATGTGGTTAGAGTGAATTGTCTAAAAATTACTAATTAAAAAAACTATGAAGGTTTTTCAGTTAAGATTTAATTAAAATTTAGAAGATTCCTTGCTCTTATATATTTTACAAAACCATTATATATAAAAACTAACTCTCTCAAAGACACTTATCCGTTTTAAAAAAAAAGGGGTCCAATTATAAGCTGCACATCCGTGGTTGTAAGCATGACTTACCGATAATATGACATTTAACTCCACTAGGAGGAGTAGAGATTAAATCCTCACACCCTCAAATAAAAAAAATAAAAAAAAGTACATCCAATAATTCTTACCGAAATTAATACAGAAAATCTAGATATATTTTGCAACTAATTAAAAGGTCCATAAGGAACCCGATGAACATTGATGAAATGAGAATATCACACTCGTCAATTTGAGTTTTTAATTTAAGTTGAGATATGATTTTATGTGAGTTTTTACTGTAATAAAAAAATTAGATGTGACTGTTTCTGATAACTTTTTACTGTAATAAAATTCGAATCGGTAAAATAAACGGGGCGTTAGAATGAGCCTACACAATTGATGAAGTTGACCCATCCACGGCTGTTGAAGTTGTTAAAGGTGAGACCTTGTTCTTCTTGAACAGTGGATTTTCAGTCTCCCAACAAGCCAAAAGTACTCGCACCAAAACTTGACCAAGAGGGATGAGAAATATACCACCACTAATAAATAAACAAATAACACTCATTATATTGACCACCCTGTGATTAGTATGTTTTCTGATACTCAAAAGAATAGCCTCCCAGATTAAATAGCTACCAAATGCTGCATAAACGAGGACCCCAGTAGCCCAAATCAAACGAAAACAAATATCAAAACCAGACATTTCTGTAGCCAAAAAGTTAGAATTCTTGGCAGTAATTGAAAGCTGGTGTTTCTTCTGAAAATTAATTTGCTGGGTCCGAAGAAGAAGAGAGAGATGATTTACCGAATTGTTGTTGCAGAACAGCTCCGGGCTAGTTGGTGCATTTAGAAGCTGATGAACAAGAAAATCCAAAACAAATACATCAATGTTTCACTTATGAGAGTGCTAATAAATTATCCATAATCTTATGGAGGGAGAAAACAAGGCTTTCACTATCTTAGATTAGACCTTCAACCAATTTTATAAGAAAAAACAAAGAAAGTAGGCGTTATTAACAAAGAGGTCCTTGAACTCACAACGATTGTATAAATTTGGAAGAAGCGGACAACTCCCTTGTATTTATCTGAAATAAAATTTACCCATGTATGCTAAACCTATGCCCTTGGAAAGGCATGTATAAACTTCAACCGGTGAAATGCCATAAATGACACTCATATATGTCCACGTTCATCATTAGTTCAAAGTACAATGACGAGGAAAAAGTTGAAAGCATCAAACTAAAATTTATGCCTCATTTCTAACTAGGACAGATTTACAAGATTTCTTACAATCTGAAGCAAACGATTGTTTGGGTTGGGGAATCTCTAAAAGAATCATACTCATCTAGGTAAAGAGATCCAAAGGAATCATTGATTCAAAACAGGTTTAAAGAAGAGCCTTGACACCCTGTTTTTGTCCATGATATTGGGTTGGGGAATCTCTAAAAGAATCATACTCATCTAGGTAAAGAGATCCAAAGGAATCATTGATTCAAAACAGGTTTAAAGAAGAGCCTTGACACCCTGTTTTAGTCCATGATATTTCCCGCTTGTGCGTCTCGGGGTAAATCTGAGCCCAAACATCTCCTTGGAAGCTTGGTCTGGCTCTCCCGATCCCACGAGCTTCACAACTATGGTGGCACTTTCTGTGATGTGGTCCATGTCTTTTGTGTTAGTCCACAAGCGGTGGGCCAACTGCAGCCTCCTGTGTTTTGTGTTTAACCCAATACCCCACTTTAGGTAGATGTTCTCTCTTTCATGTTTAGAGAGCTTCTTTTGCATTTGCTTACTGAGCATCAGCCTCTCGCGGCACAGTGCCCTAATGCTGTTCATGAAAGTTGCATGTTAGAAACTAGGTGTCGCTCATTATATGCACTAAGGTAAACATGAACAAAAAGCAAAAATACTAGGTAAAAGGCCTTCTTTTTATATATACCTTGATGCGTAAGTTAGAGTTCGACCATCCTCTACAGTTTGATTGCCGCGAGAAAATGTGTCTTTGAGGAAAGACAGCCTTCTCATCTCCACCTCCATGTAAATAGAATCCGTTGGGTCGCCTCTGAATAATAAGAAGAAATAAGTCCTGTGAACCAATGACACGTTGCAAGCATGCCAGAACTCGATAATCTCTCTTTGGAGCCTCTTGAATTCTGAAGGCCACTTTGGAGGATTTCCCACATCGTCCTGAATCGGGTCCAAGCCAACATCTTTTACACTCCTTGTCGATACCATCAGCTTTTCCTCTGTCTCCGGGATCTGTCACGTGAAACCACCATCAGTTAACTTCAAATTTAACTTGTTTATTATGTTAAAAATCAGTTTCTCATAGAAAGCTTCTACGGGAAAAAAGAATAAGAACTGGTTACTGGTTGTCCATCTTACTAAACGACCTAGTACTTTAATTCCTGCGTTTATATTAGGAAGATATTCCAAGAAATTCACTTGAGCAGTTGGACATTTAGTTAGTAAAGCATCCATTAAACATAGAAAGGTTCCTTGTTAAACAAGGAAGCTCCAGCTGATTGCGAGAAGTGGAACATAGAAGTTTCAGAGTATTTATATAAGCAACCTTAATGTAGTATCAAAAATCTATTTCGGCAAGGGGTACATACCTCAGAATCAGCAAGTGGTTTCTCACATGAGTAATCTACTATTTCCTCCACTCCACCAGCTGAAGTACTGATGCTAGTACTCTCGTTATCATTTGAAGCTTCGATTTCCGGTGTTTTTAGTTCATCAACACCAGCAATCCTAGCAGAACCTTGAGAACCATTTTTTGACAATATCTCCTGAGAACCACTTCTTGATAACTTTTCGTGAGAACGTTGAGAACTGTTTCTTGATAATTTCTCCTGAGAATCATTTGTTGATAATTTCTCCTGAGAACCACTTTTTGACACCGTTTCCAGGGAAACATTTCTTGATAACGTTCCAATATCAGGACCATAGTTCAATGCGGGAACTTTCTTCTGGAAACCCTCAGGTCTTCCTGTGAAAGTTCTATCAAATGTAATTGGTGGCGTGCTCTCATCCTTTTCTTCCCTCTCAAACCAATGCGAATACAAAGTAGTAGTTAGACGTGCTTTGCAACTTCTGCTCCTTGTTAGCTTCAAGCCTTTGAAGCCAGACAGATCTTTCTCCATTAGCCATTGAGAGGGGGTTTTTTCATGAGATGGAATTTGGAACACTGATTGGAAGCTGTTCGCATCTTCGGTTTTCTTCAAAGCAGGTGATCCCAATTCTTCATTCGCACTAACTTCCTTCTCAAACACAACTAATCCTGAAATAGTTGATTTCGCATTGGGAGATGACACATTCGAGTTGATAAATCTCGTTGGGCTAGAATCTGATACATTTGACTCTACATGTCTGTTTGTGCTTGGCTCTTCCACCTCAATGCATCGAACTTCCTTGCAAAGGTCATCCAGATTTCCATCAGAATGTTCTCTGCTCTCGTCCTGGTTCAGATCAATTTCAATGAAATTTGGAATTCTAACTGACAAGCGTGGAGAGGAAGAGTTTGTGGGCAGGGAATTCTCATCAAAGTCAGGTATTTGGAAAAAGTTCTCCTCGCAATTACTGCTCTGCGCATCTGAGTTCTGAGATGTATCAGACGATCTAGTGCAGCTGTTGAGGTTTTGGGAGCCATTAAAAATATGAGTCCGTGGTGTTCGATTTTCAAAGTCCCATGAACTCCGCACTCGCAATTTGGGGTAATACTGATATAGGTCAACCTAAAGCAATGAGATCATGGAATGAGCTTAGGAGGCACAATGAAGAAATAAACTGAATTCTTCAATCTTAGTAACTACACATACCGACACTGACGGTCTATCTTCTTCAGCTGCTCGTAGCAAATCTTTGACCTGAGACTGAGCAGCATCGCGTTGTAGAGTGACCTCTGAAATCTCTTTCTTGAGCTGCAAGACAGAAAAATTAAGGAAAAACATGTAAGAACAAACTTTCTGTTGCGTGAACCATGTCCATGTCTAAATGTGCTAACTTAAATTTTTAGGTAAAAGCCATTACTCACCTTTTCAACCTGAAGGTCCTTCTCCCACAGTAATCCAGCAGAATCAATAGCTGTTCCTGCACATCTCAACTCATTCTCCAATCTGGCCAATTCTTTTTGCAACTTCTTCACCAGTGCTTTATCCGACATTACTACGTTGACCTGTGCACTGGTTGTTACTTCTTTAGCACAACTAGCAAACAAGAGGGTATTTCTTGACTGTTCAACATGGCTTCGGGCAGGGCTCAAGGTACAAATAATGGCAGTTCTAGCATTGCCCCCTAAAGAGGACTGCAGTATGCGGGTTAGCTTTGAATCTCTGTAGGGAACGTGACTATTTCTTCCTTTGCTGCATCCAAACAGAGTTTTAGGAATTAGTAGCAGAGATAATTACCCAAGTCTTAACATGTTAATTTCACAAAACCAAAAGATAGAAGAAAAACATGGTTGGGGAATTGAGAACACGTTAACCACTCATGTTTATCCCAGGAAGTAAACCATTCGATAGCACAGGTTGTATTAACATGACTATTGTCTGGAGGAAAAACTGGAATTGAGGATAAATTTGAAAGTAAAGGCACAGGCTACTCTAACCGACCTGAGCTTACGGATAACAGTGCCCAGAGTTAGTAAGCTGCGATTTATATGGCAACCTTCTTTCAACCTCGTACCAGCTGATAATGTCTGAGATGCACGCTCACTTCCTGCAAGATCGATGAAGTTCTGTACAAAGGAAATAACAAATTAAACCAATTTTCCGACTATCATCCCGTTTAACTAACACATGAACATGCATGAAATATCTTTCTTACCACAGTAGCTGAAAGGGAGCTTGATTTGTCATTGCCTTTAAACTCTCGCGATGAACTTTCAATCGTCTGAGAAAATCACATTGTGCAAGTGTAGAGTTGTAGAGATTAGCTATAAGTGGTGGTGACACATTAATCTCATGGTGAAAGAATCACACCTACCAGTCTGAGAATCTGATGAGATCTGGAACTTGCTTCATTTAGGGATGTCTCCCCTATCTGTCTTTGCGCTGCAAAAAAGCAAATATGTTATCACTTAATTATTCAGTCATAGTTATTTATGTGAACCAAGACTTTGAATCCTTACCTTCGCAAACAGATAAAAGTTCTTTGAAATGGTTCCAGTCCCTCAGAGTTTCCTCTGTAAGCTTCTCAACAACAGTCCCTCTCTGTAAAAAGGGCTGAAATTTAGTGCAAAAGAGAGAATTTACATAGAAAGTTCTTGAGAATATCATAAATGATGTTCACCTCTGGATCATCAAGAAGTCTAAGAGGAGTGCTATCTGCACTAAGTAGGTCTCTCACAGATTCATTGTATATCTCCATAGCAGAGAACTTCATAACAAACTCTCTTTCATTGTGCTAGATTCACAGATATTATTTGTCACTTCCAAGGAACACAGCGAATTGTACAAGTAAAATAAAATGATGAATCTGAAAATTACCTTATTTACGTAGTCATAGATATCCGCAACAGTGTACTCAGTAATTCCACTCATGGTGTAAGTCTTTCCACTGCTTGTTTGTCCATATGCAAAAATGCTCGCTGAACAGAGAGTTTCATGAGAAAACAAAAATGTCTCAAATAGTTAATAAAATTCAGAAAACGTTCATGAAACAGAACTATGACAACTAATAGGTATAGAAGTTATACTCACAATTTATACCACTGACAACTGAAAGAGCGACATCCTTGGCTCCTTCTTTATACACCTGCCTTGTGGGGCAATCAAAGCTAAATACTCTGTCTAGAACCAGAAAGAGGAAAAGTCAGGTAAGAAGGATAAGCATATTCCAGTGCTATCACAGAATAATATGATATGTAGAATCGTGCAAAGAGGTAGTGCTTTACTGACAAAATCCCAAAAAACAGATGCATTGTAACTTCTTAAAAGCATTCACTCGGGTGTACAAATAATCAAAGTGGCTTCAATGCCTATAAAATATTTTTAAAAAAAGAAGAAAATTTGGCTGAAATAAACAGTTATAGTTTTTTTTTTTATTATTTTAAAAAGAGAGAAAAAGAAAACCCAGTGTGAACATCCATGTTTAGGAATAGGAATTCCTCAAGTTGGAACATAATTAAGCAAAATGCCTCACAATTAACTGCTTGCCACACCCAACTTACAGCAATGTGGTATAATATTGATCGACCATGATGACAGAAATCAAGACACCTTGACTAATTGAGAAAGCCAATGTTGATGATTCATAGAACTGATTAATACTAATAACGTAATCAAAGCATGTCCTTACCAAATGTATAGCCAGTTGGGTACATAGAGCGCTCGGAAACTGAAAGGTTGTTCCTGTATATGATAGTGTCGTCATTGATGCATTCCCAATCTGACACATCATTCCTTGAAGCCTCCTTCTCATTCAAAGGCCGTAGCCGAATTGAAACAAAGATTTTCTCCTCCCGGCCACCCGGCCCTTGCATTAGCTCCTCTCCACCAACAGCCCCCATATCTCAACCTCACTTAATCTGCACTATTTGGCCAATGCATTAAGATTCAGAGCGTTGAACGAGGCAAAACATCTTGCAGGGTTCTCTCGAAACATAAGGACCAACCAAACTTAACAGGGCAATCATCATCTGCACCCAACAAAGTAATCATGGGTCGATTATAATTATTCATCCATATTTCTTTTAGTATTTGTTTCAAATATGAACCCAGATTTTTTTATTGACATTTTTAATTGGCGAATTGTCAGAATAAATACATATCCAGTACACAAACAGACAGGCTCTTTGATGTATTTTAATGGAGTTTTGGAGTTTTCTTAAATGGTCCCAAGTTACAGACTGTCATTAGAATTACTCCAACATCACAGAATTTTATTAAAATATTTATTTTTTTTTAACCAAAAATAATAATAATAAAAAGAAATTTTACCTTGGAAATTGATAATTCAGTCTTTTTCAAGGAATGTTTGCGAGCTCTGGAAGATTCTTCTATAGCTTCATGTGCTCAGAGAGAGAGAGAGAGAGAGAGAAAATGAAGAAAACTCATGGTTTTTTCTGAAATGTAGATGGATTTGATTGATTTTCTGACGAAATTTCTCCACCTTTTTTTTTTGGCCTTTTTGGCTTTTCCTTTCTAAAACTTAGCCTGTACAACAAAAATACAAACCATATATAACAACAATTCCCACAAATAGAAAATCCAAAAAAAAAACACAAAATGGGGAAACACTTCGAAATATTCTATGCCGTCGGACATTTCAACAGAATCCAACAGATTTGAGCTAAATTTACCAAAATCAAAAAATTCAAACTAAACTCCACTAATAATCACTCGAAAAATCATAGCTTTTCGAACTGGACTTGCTTCGGTTGCTTAAAAGAAAGCTTTCGAAACTCGATAAAAGGAAAACAAAAATCTCTACGGAAAATTGTCGCACCAAATGCAAAATGCGAACTCAATTCAGAACCAGATCATCCAGAACAAAGAACACGGAAAAAAGTGAAAGATTAGGCCAAAAAACCTGTAAAATTATTCATCCAGAGAAAGTGCAAAGGAAGCAGAGATTAATCTCTCTCTCTCTCTCTCTGCGTGAAATCCTATGCTTTTCGAAGGAAATGGTTATGGCGTCGCTCTCTCTCCTCTTTCTCTCTCTTCATCTTCTTCTTCTTGAGGCTCTCATTGCCGCTATAATTTGTTGTTGTACTGTTTATTTATTTTATACAACAGTACAAAACCAGGTTGTTAATCGTTCTTAAGAGGCCATTTTTGAAAGTAATTAAAATTTAAATTAAATGTACCGCGTTAATTCGAAGAGGAATTCTGTACAACGGTAGTGAAATGACGATTTTACCCTTGACATTGCACCTAATTTGCGTCGTGACCACGCCTGAACAGCGGCTGAACTGGAGGAGTTAAAAAAAAAAGATAGTAAATAAAAGGCATTAAATAATTATCGCCGGATCTTGATTCTTGCCCACTTTTTTTCAGTTTTCATGTTAAACGTGAAGTGAGCTAAAAAAGTTTCTTCACCACCGGCCGAATTTAAAAAAAGGAGGAGGCAAAAAAAAAGGTAAATTGAAAATCACGATTTGTGTCAACTTTTTCTTTTTTTTTTTCCCCCAAAAAAAAAAAAAAAAAAAAAAAACTAGGTAGCAAATGTTGTTCATATATTATTAGAGAAAAAATGTGATATTGTTATGGTACTTAGGCTTGGTACGAGGAATGGAGATTAAGAAAAATGGAAAAGGTTAAAATGATGGAGAATAGGAAGGATGAAGAGAACAATGTTAAAAGATAACTAATTTGGAGATATATTAATGAGTTTAAATGTATTTTTTTATACAATACTGAATTGAAACTGCAACTCCCGACTTAAATCTCATTTCATCTAAATTCTTTGGTGCCATTAGATCAAGAGGTCTTAAACTTTAATGTAATTTTAATAAGGAGAAAATAGTATTTTAATTAATTTTTAGGTACAAATATAATTACTCATCTATTTTTAGGAGAAAACTAATTATCTATGATGGACTTTTGTTGGAAATTGGTTAGAATTTTCTAAACAAGTTGGCAAATCCAATTATCCAAAACTAAATACGGAATATGTATATAATGCTTTTGAAAAAATAGCGGAGATATATTGTGAGAGAAAAAAGAGATTTTTTGGTTGGTAGTTGTTACACTTTCACACATGGCACAGCCAATAATAAAGTTTCAAAAAGCCTTGGTGCAATTCCAATATTTGGCTCTCCCTTTTTTTTTTTTTTAATTGGGAAAGTCAATACTTGGTTCTCACATATGATGAGTCAAATCCTAAAAGTCGAAAATATTTTAATTATAAATTATTTTTTTATGAAGAATAAGAAATTAATTGTAAGATTATCAAATACACAATGTAATTTGGTATAAAAAAAGAGTAAAATATACGTAGGGTCCGTTTAGTTCGTTGATTTAAATTTTTAATTCGAGTTGAGATGTGACTTTATGTGAGAATTTTTTACTGTAATAAAAAAATTAAATGTGACTGATTTTAAAAGTTTTTTACTGTAACAAAATTTGAATCGGTAGAATAAATATAGCCGTAGTGTTCATAGGAGGAAAAACAAGGTCCTTAGATCCTTGCATTGCAGAGCTCAAGCATATAATACTACGCTAATATAATTCAATCATTAAACGGCATGAACATCATTTAAATCATTGTAATATCGAATATACTAAAATAATTTTATACAATGATGAAGTTATATCAACAACATAATAGTTTTGAAAAAAAAAAATACTAGTAGTTTGAAAAAAAAAATCAAATAATAATGTCTCTCTATTTCAGTTTTTTTTTTTTTTTTTTTTTTTTTTTTTTTTTTTTTTTTTAAACAAACCACGACCACAGGTCCACAACCAGTGCCGTGCAGAAGAGGGCATTGAAAATTTTGTTTTTCTTTCTTTTTTTTTTTCAAATTTTTGGGAAAATTTTTGCCCCCAAGAGATGTGAGTCAAAGCTGCTGAAAATAGAGGATGTGGGGCCCTTTTGACCAATATCTGCAATGAGGTGCTGACAACCCATGTGGATGAGAGGAACAACGGCTTAAAATTCGTCTTTTTGATTAAAGGGTCCCCATTGCATGTGTCCCCTAAACAAAAAAATGAACCTCAAATACATTATATTATACATACCTTGTATTCAAAACAAAGGTATCAAAGATTCCACATGTCTTTTTCTTAATTTCACTTCACATTTGCATGTGCAAGCTTCTCCAATTCGCTTTTTTCCTTTTTCTTTTTTTTAATTTTGATTTATTACTGCCGACAAGGGTATTTAGGTCCATGTCATTATGGTTTTTTTTTTTTTAAAGCATAATTTTCACTCAATATAGGCATGGCAACTCATCTTGTACTGCTTTCTATTATTAGCAAAAAATGCTTCGTGCCAAAAGCAAATTCAATCTAGCTATCAGAGCATAATAATAATAATAATCTAGCTAATTATTGTTTTCACGTGTGATATTCTAGTTAGGCCAATGAATGTTCATGTGATTTTTTTTTTTTTTTAAGAAACAAAGCTTAATTCCTCAAGGACCAGTAATTTATATGGTCTATTTGAAGAGGTGAAACAATACGACACAAAAAATTGCGTCGTTGATATTCGGAAACACGACATTACATCCGTAGCAGCGGGAAAACAATTGTCCCTCACTCAAGGAAAACGATAGACATTAAGAACGACATCGTTCAGATCAGAAAACGACAGTAAATTGGCCACTTCACACGTGGTACGCTTGCATGCAATATTTTAGGCGTAGTTAATGGCTGGAAAACGACAATAAGCCAAGATATATCACTATTAGTCTTGGAGATAAGGATGCGTCACTAAAAGCAAAAAAATCAATTAGGTACTCTAGTGTACTCAACTATTAGTACCCTCTATCTCTCACAAGCCATAACTAAGCATCAGATGGTAATTTTTACTTTTAAAATGCATTATGAAGCTTGAATTTCCTCTTCTTTGAAAACCCCTTTTACCATTGTGAAATTAAAGTTAGAGAAATAGTAGAAAATAGGCCAATATAAAAGGCTTAAGAAAGTATATAGGTCAATTTTTAGTTATAGAAATTAATAAGTCATAACTTGTCAAGTTATGGTTCATAACCAGATAAGTTATGACTCATAGTCAGATAAGTTATGGACAATTATAGACAATAACTTGTCAAGTTATGGTTCATAACCAGACAAATAATGGACGAAAACAGTAATTTGGCATATTTATTAACTTATGTAAACTATTGACTTATTAATTTTAATTCATCTCAAGTTTTGGCCTATTTCTCTTTTTCTCCCTTAAAGTTATCCTGTTTGGGTATGCGTCTGAATGTTAGATTTAATAAAAATACATCAAAATAAGAAAAAAAAAATACACAAAATGACAGATTTTAATATAAATTTCATGATTCAAGTTATATTACTACAATATTTTCTCTCATAAAAATTCAAATTCAACTTTTTTGTTACAGTATTTTTTTCTCACATACACAACTCAAGTCATGACTTGAGTTGTGTAAATGAACATATTAGGGTTCGTTTGATACGAGGATTCTATGATTCTAATCATGATTCTGGAACCAGAATCATGATTCATGATTTTGGATTCAAATCATGATTCTGAAACCATAATTTAAAGTCATGGGTTTGAATCACCTTGAATTAAAAGGATGGTGGTTTTAGAATCATGAGTGATTCTAGTTTAAAACATCACATCAGATTTTGAATCATGATTCAGAATTATCCAAACTAAATACTGATTCTGAATTGATTCAGAATCACTATAAACAAACACTGATTCTGAATCATAATTATAGATCTATCTATCAAACACCTCCTTAATGATTCAAAATAAAAGGCTATCAGGGGGATATTTTTTCTTCCTATCCTAAAAAATTTCCTTTTCAAATTTAATTAAGCTGATATGGAAAAAAGCACCACAAATTGAAAAAGTCCCATCATGGGCGCCCTTTTGTTGACCATACAGGTAAGAAATCTATTCAAAAAGTGAAATTCCAACCAATACCAAATTTAATTTCTTTCATGTAGAATATATTTTTGAAACTCAAGCATATGCATAATTTAGCGACGGTCCATAGGTCTCCTTGTAGGGAAAATCGTTCAATATGCCTACAATTTTGCTACAAACCATCTTAGGTGTTCGGATACAACAAAACTAATACAGAGAATGAGGAACAAAAATTGGAGGACATTCCTAAGAAATTAAGGGCATATCAAATGGGGTGGGTGTCCAATCTGATCCCCAAAGAAGACGACATCAAAGTCATTCTTGGTCCACATATCAATATCTCACTCCCCACCTATTTTTAGGCTTTACAAGTCACATTCTAAGCTTCTCTATCCTCATTTAATAAAGAGGCCTTAAAAAAACACGTTTGGGTGGGTGTTTTTTCCGATTAATAATGAGAATTAATATGTGATTTAGAAAATTTAACCGAATTTGATGAAAATTTAACAATTAATAATTGCCCACACTCAAGAGTTTATTATTGTTGTTGTTATCTATCACATATCCCTATCAATAAAGTTCTGCTTGTTAGTATATAAAAATCACTTTAGATTTTTTTCTCGACACTTATTACCTCAGTTTTTCCAGAACGTATAAAGTGACAAATAAATTGTCACTTACTCTAATATTATAGTTTAACTTTGTGATACCTATTAGAATAATCACGTATTAGGTTGGATGATTTATAAGCATTTGGGAAATAGACACACAAATGCAAACGGTGAAGCAGGTAACCGAGTTGAATATTGCACTAGTAGCCATCTTACTAGTGGAACAGGTTAATCTAAAGGCTCCTAACCATGACAAATTGGCGGTGCAAAATGTGCATGACTCGGCTATGATCTAAGATTCATCATTCCAAGTGAAAGCAAAACAAGTGCAATGTTCCAAAACTGAGCTTTCACAATTGTCACTCCCATCTACTGGATTGAGGAATTCTACTAGATATTTCCTCTTTGATGTGTGCATTGTTAGTCGTGTTTAAAATTGATCCCGTTTTTATTTTTTATGTTTTTTTTTAAAAAAAAATGAAAACGTTTTCAAAACGGCGTTTGGCACAATAAAGATAAAAAACAGAAATAAAAATAATTTTTTAGTTTAGTGTAAAATGAGACAGAAATGAAAA